ATCCCTTTCCATTATTATATTTCAAACTACGTATAAAAACGTTTGGCATGCCATATAAAACTATATAAAGAAATACCTAAGTGTTCCACGTTCTAACTAATCGTTTGGATTCATCGCAACCAAGACAAGGACCTTGTCTCCCAAATACGCTTTTGCAAAAATATTTTAGCATCACCCTTAATCTATTAAGATTGATTATAATTAATGATCAACAGTTTAATTTTTTTTTATCAACCATGCATAATCTGTTTTGGCCATCAAGAAGTATATATTTTGGAAATTCACACCTGGTATGTGACAATATTGATACTACAACCTGGTATGTGTTGAGATAAAATTTCACACCGGCGTGTAGTATGTAAGATTTTGAGTCTTTCCGCTTATTACCAATTAGTTTTTGGTTTGATGCTCGATCTAATTCATGTGATCATCCATCAATATATAGTTCTCTAAATAGTTAACGTAACCGATGGTCAAGCAAAATTGATGCAATGCCAAAGAAAATTTCTTGTGTAAACCCCTAAAGTCAAAAAAATTACCTATGGACGAGTCCTAATCAAGGAGTTGTTGTAGGTATATCAACTAGATGTGTCAAACATGTTAATTGATTAATCATGTACGCATAGACGTTATTCATACACTATCTATATGTGATCTTAATTTGTTCATTTCTTGTAATTAAAGCAAAAAATTAAACAAGTCAATAGCAAATTAATACAGAGTATTGTATTGGATCACTGTGTATTTTTTTGTCGGATGATCTTAAATCATATAGCAACAAACTAGCTATAGATGTCCTTTTCAATGTCCAATGATTATTTTGGAAGCCATGAGGAACTAAACTAACCCAGAGTACAATTTGATTTAAATAACTCATGAGTTACATGATGCCACCGTCACCCAATGTATCTTACGTACCAAAATAATGGTACAACAATCATGTTGATCGAGATGACGTCATTCATCTTGAACACTTTGGTTAAAATGTCTTTAGAATAAATCCTTATTGAAAATAAGTATTTTTGAAATCAAAAAATATTTTCCTTAAAGCACTTTTAAACGACCCTTAAATGAAGAAAATATAATTAATCTCTATGCAAGCATTAAGGAATAGGGAAATCAGAGTTCACTATAGTCTCGTTTTCATGAGGTCTCCGTTGTCCCCCAACTAAACCAGAGAATAGCTGATAATTCGTAGCATTTTACGTTAAAGTACAACTTGGCAATGATTATCTGTACTCTTTTGTTATAACCTTTTTATTACGGGGATTCGAACTCCAACACATAGATTAGTCCCATTACATTCTTATTGTTAATTAATTTCTTTTAAGAAAAAACAGTCACAATAAATAACTTCAATGACATAATATGAATATCCAACTCAAAATCAATTATTATATATATGAAAACGGTGATATAATATGAATATGAATATCCAACTCAGAATCAATTAGTATATATATGAAAACGGTGACATAATATGAATATCCAATTCAATATCAATTAGTATATATATGGAAAGGCTCAATATGATACTCTCAAATTCCCATTTACGTGCATGACCGGTCTACAAATTTTTTGATCAGAGCTGACAACAAAACTAAGGCCCAAAATAATAATTCTCACACAAAAAGTTAAGGATTCTTTTGTCCAGTAGAAAAATTTACCAGAAAAACATTTTGAGTCATTTGAGAGATATCAAGTCAAACAATTTTAATTTCAGTCGATATTATGTGTAACAGTTTCACATTTTTTTAAGAAATGGTAAAATTTTGCCTCTTTAAAAGTAAATTAACTATACTCCTTAGATTTTTTAAATCATGTAAAACAAACATAGATAATCTAAATAGATTGATTTATTTAAACACACAAAATTGAAATTTTTATTCACAACACACCAGGTTAAATTCATGACATGCTTTTGGCTTAACTATTTTAAGATGACTACCCCTCATACATTTTTTTCTTTCTATTTTTTGTTCCAATTCCTTCATGGCAAGGGCTAACGCCTCAGACAGACAATTCATATTGGAAGAGGCACATAGTACACAAATGTTAGCCTAAACACGTGAAAAGGATTTACAGTAATGTTATGTACGATGAGCTAAGCGGTTCTTATGAATAGTACATTGCAGGGAATTGAAAAATTGTATTGCCAATTTACCATCGTGTTACAACACAATCTGAAAACCTGTGTTACAAGTACTGCAAAGATATACTATTCATTTTTTTGTTTTTGTCTTACAATCTATTCATAAAGTATTATGGAAATATACTTAAAACCTAAGTAATATGTATTACAGTTTTCTTTGCCGAAGTATTATAAGTTAGGCGTATATTATTGAGCAACTACTATCAAATTGCTAGTAAAGGTTGATTCATTTATTTAAAAAAAGTTTAATCTGGGAATTAATAATTATTAATTTATTTTATGATTCAAGTTAGTTTTTTCAATGTGTGGAGCTCAAAATAATCAATAGACTGGTTTGCAAAACATGATACAGCTGCATGCATTTTCTGTTTTGTGTGAGAGAGATATTTAGGGGTGTAGCATATTAAGATTATTTATACCGATTTTTGTTAAGTTTTTAAAGTGATAGACTTTCACAGGTTTAGTAGACTTTTTTACTGACTATATGTTATAAACTCTATAAATTTCACAGACTTTTAGTCATATATTTGTGTGGTAAAGAAAGAACAGTAATATGATCCATAAAATATGGTTTAAATTGATGGTTTCCCTAGCATTACCCTTGTTGAAATGGTAATCATTATCATGAAAAAGTGGTCTTATGAGGTGGTGATTGCAATGATGGTGGTGGAAGTGTCATGTGGTGATTATTGGCAAGATGGTGGTAGTAACGTTGGTGTCTTTCGTGATTATGGTGGCAGGGTGGTGTTGAGGTGATGGAGAAGTAGGGATGGGGGTGGTGGTGACGGGGTGGTGATGATGGTGGTTGAGGTGGCAATCATGGTGGTGGTCATAGTAGGAGCGACGATGATGCTCATGTAATAACGATGGTGGCGGCGATGGTGACAATAAGGTTCTAAAAGGCACTACTCAGGCGCCAGGTAGGAGTCGAGCACCTACTCGTCTAGGCGGGGCCTAGGTGGTTTTTTAGTATATTTACCAATGTTCTAAAAAACGGCCTAGGCGGTGGTGAGCCAAGGCGTTTTCTTGCAAATCAATTGGAAAAATCTTGGGTGCCTCGAAAGAAGGCGAAGTTTTGTCTAGGGTTTTGACCCATGGGATGCTTTCGGCGAGTTTTTGTCTTCCTCTTCCAAATCTGAGATCTGCGGTGGGGAAGGGTCTTACTAGTGCTGGCGGTGTCATTAAGAGCGGAGGATCGATGGATGAACGAGATCTGCAAGGAGACATGGAGGAGCTAGGTGTTAATCTAGGATCCAAACTCAAGTTAACTGAGAAAGAAAGGAAAGTTATTGTTATAGGGAGGAAGGAAGTCGAGGAGGCCCTGATTGGGTTTCACTTCTATGCTGTCGTCGAGGTGCTCACAAAGAAGAAGGTGCACAGGGATGTCTTCATCGACAGATTTACATCTCTGTGGAGAGGGAAGAACGGGGTTTCGATTAGAGACCTGAGGGGACAGCGTTTCCTTGCTCAATTTGTGTCTGAACAGGACCTAATCTATGTGATTGAGGTAGACCAGCCGTGGACCTTCAAGGACGACTTGGTTATGGTGGCGGACCGAACACACGCAGACAAGAACATATGGGCTCCACTGACCCATGGAGTTTTCTGGATGCAATTGCACAACATCCCTTATCTGAACATGATCGGGGCTGTTGCTCTCGCTATAGGTGGGCTGGTGGGCACGGTGTTGAAGGTGGATAGAAATGTGAGTAAGGAATGCATTGGGAGATTTCTGAGAGTCAAGGTTCGATTCAATGTCAAGGAACAACTTATGCGAAGGACATATGTGCTGTTTCCAGATGAAGGGAAAGTTTGGGTGGAATTCAAGTATGAGTATCTCCCAAATTATTGCCTCATATGTGGATTACTGGGGCACCCAACTAGAATCTGCAAAAAGAGAGAGTGGATGGTTCGGATATGGAAGCAGAAGGTGAGCCACTAGGAGATGACATTTACGCGTTTCGAAACCTTGAGGCCACATTTGACCTGAGAGGCTACCCGCTGCATTCTGGGATCCGAAATGGGTCGTTTTCAAGAGAAATCAGAGGTGGCAGAGGCTCCAGAAGGCAACAACAAAGTGGAGGAACAGTTACTACCAAAACGGGAAGCGGGGGGATGATTTCCAACACAAGTGGGAACCGGGGGAGTGTCCGCCACACGAAACTCTCTAATGAAGACGGCGGTAGCGGTACCGTGGAGAGGGAGAATTACGAAAATGGAGAAACTTTCGACACTGCTAGCTCGCCCCTAAAAATGAGGCTAAATTTTGGAACTGCTGACTACGATTAGTCGTTGGCGGAAAGGGTAAGGGCTAGAAAAGAAAAAGAGAAAGAAGAGAGGGAGGCAAGGGAAAAAGCTTTTGATGCCGGCCTGATCGGGCCAGGGGGCACGATGGCGGAGGGGGTAGAAAATGTTACTTTGATCAATTTAGATGAGAGGGAGGAGGGCTCTAAGGATGGGGTGAGTGTGGCGAGGGAGGACAAAATAGTGAAGGAACAAGGAGATCTGATTGATTTGAATGTTATGCCTAAGGAGAATGCCCCACTAGGCAACTGTGAGAGTGAATGCGGGGAATTGGCAGGGCAGACGTTAGGAATGCAGGGAATCACTTTCGAGAGGCAGGGGATGAGCTCGGAGATAAGCAATGTAACCAAGAATTTGATCCTTTCAACTTGGGACAAATTATTGAGGCTATCTCGAGGAAGATAAAAGCCAAGAATAGGGGATTGGCGGAAGTGGAGGAGTGAGCGGCCGGAATGCTGGCTATAAACATGAGAGTGAGACAGCGAGATACAAAGGTCATAAGTGAGGTGGAGGAGACCAGCCTTGAGGGGTCTCCCAATACCCCATGAAGCTTATCGTATGGAACTGTCAGGGTATTAGGGGTGACCTGATAGTTGACAACCTGTTGGAGCAAAATAGGCTTCACACCCCTGACATAGTGATTCTGCTTGAAACAAAGAACAAAAGCAGTCGTTATGGTTATCTTACGAAGAAACTCGAGATGGAATTTATGCACACTGTGGAACCAAAAGGTATTGGTGGTGGTTTATGCTTATTTTGGAGAGATGCCTCACAGATTCTCTTGGTGAAACATTTTGACTTCATGATTGAAGTCAAAGTTTGGGACGAGGAAAAAATGTATCATTGGCGGCTTTTTGGAATCTATGCTAGTACTGATGAGAAAATGAGGAGAGACCAATGGAGGGCACTTGGTAATCGTATAGTGAAGGAAAGTGATATCTGTCTCCTAATAGGGGATTTCAATGATATTTTGTGTAATGGTGAAAAAGAAGGTGGCAAACTGAAATCGGTGACTAGCATGCGGGACTTTAGGGAATTTATTGCTAATAATGAGCTTGTGGATCTAGGCTATGAAGGGTATCCTTTTACTTGGCGCAACAAGAGGGACTCCTTACCCATCCAACAGAGACTCGACCGGGGTCTTGCAAGCACGGGGTGGTTTAACCTTTACCCAGATACGAAAATCATACATGTTGTATTAGAAGGCTCTGACCATTCCTTGTTGCTCCTTACCACAAAGAAATCCGAAGAGTGGAGAGGAAATAGGTTTATGTATGATGCAAGATGGAGTAATCAGAAAGAGTGCAGGAACATCGTCACAAAAGACTGGGGATGGGAAGGTCGGGGATTTCACGCATTTCGATTCTACGAGAAGCTGAAACTTGTCAGAATGAGTCTTAAAGGGTGGTATCGAAAGAAAGGTAGAAATTCCAAAAAAACTATTGATAAGCTGAAAAGGGAATTAAGGAAGGCCTATCAGTCAAATAATTTTGCCTCGGCGGAGGTTCATTAAAAGGAAGAAGAACTAAAGGAGGCCAATAGGAAGGAAGATGAGTACTGGTGTGTCAAGTCGAGGGTCCAGTGGCTGAATAATGGGGACAAGAATACAAAATACTTCCATGCTCAAACAACGAAGTGGAGAAGCTCAAACAAGATAAAAGGCTTGGAGGATGCGCAGGGCGTCTAGCACTCGGATCCTGTTGGAATTTCTACACTGGCGGTGAACTACTTTGCTGATATCTTTAAGTCCAGTAAACCGAGTCAGTTTGAGGAAATCACGGGGTGTGTGCAAGCAAAAATTTTGCATGAGGACAACCTAATGTTGATAGCACCAGTTTCTAATAGTGAAATTCAGGTGGCTGCCTTCCAAATCCCTCACACGAGAGCTTCGGGGCCGGACGGCTTCTCCGGGAGTTTTTATCAGGACCACTGGGAGGTGGTGGGAAATGATGTGACTAAAACCATTAAAGCTTTCTGGCACTCTGGAAAACTGCTAAAAAAACTAAACCACACAAACTTGGTTCTCATACCAAAAGTCTCATGTCCCAAGAGTTTGTTGCAGTACCGGCCCATTGCCCTGTGTAATGTATGTTATAAGATCCTTGCTAAGGTAATCACTAATAGACTAAAAAAGGTGATGCCAAAGGTGATTAGTGATAACTAGTCAGCATTCGTGGCGGGAAAACATATTCAAGACAACATTCTAGTGGTCCATGAAATTCTGCACTCCTTGATGCACCAGACCGAAGAGGATCGGAGTGGCATGGCTTTAAAGCTGGACATGGCTAAAGCCTACGATCGTGTTGAGTGGGAGTTCCTCTTAGTTATGATGGCGAAACTGGGGTTTGATCCTATGTTCTGCAAAAGGATAAAAGAGTGCGTTTCTACTGCCTCCTATAGTATCCTGGTGAACGGGGCTCCTACGGGTTATATCCTGCCGCAGAGAGGATTGAGGCAAGGTGACCCTCTGTCCCTATTTTATTTCTGCTGTGTACTGAAAGGTTCTCTGCCCTCATCAGGAATGGTATGGAAAATGGGTCCCTTCATGGGGTGCGGGTGAATCCTAGGGGACGCCGATATCACATCTATTTTTTGCTGACATCTATTTTTTGCTGACGACTCAGTGTTATTTTGTGAGGTGACTGTCGAGGATGAGAAAGGTGTGCGGGAAATCCTGAACTCCTATGTTGCAGGTTCGGGGCAGGAGATAAATATGACTAAAAGCTCTATTTTCTATGGAGCGAAGGTCAAGAAACGGGAAAAGAAATTAATTGAAAACACTTTGAACATTCAGAGTAGAATGGGGTTTGGGAAGTACCTGGGACTTCAAGCTGACTTTGGTGTTTCTAAAAAGGCTGTTTTTGTGGATGTCCGGGAGCGGATCGACGTGAAAATGGTGGGATGGGCTGAGCAGTTTTTAAGCCAAGCTGGAAATGAGGTTCTTATAAAAGTCGTTGCTATGGCTATGCCTAATCACGCAATGAGTTGCTTTAAGTTGCCAATCGATGTTTGCAAAGATATCGAAAAGGCAATTCGCAGCTACTGGTGGAGGGGGAGCATGAATCGCAAAGGGGTTCAGTGGGTTTCATGGGATAGACTCCAAAAGGAAAAAGGTCGGGGGGGGGGGGCTTGGGTTTCAAGGATATCCAATGCTTCAATTTGGCTTTCCTAGCTAAGATTGGGTGGCGTCTTATCCTAAACCCGGAATCCCTGTTTGCAAAGGTAATGAGGGAAAAATACTACCCTGGGAAAACCTTCAGGGAGGCGACTGGGGGAAAGAGGTCTTCCTGAGGATGGAAGGGTGTTTTCAATGCCCGTAAGGTGCTGGAAAAAGGTCTGCTATGGCGGGTTGGGGATGGTGCAAGTATCAGCATCAGGAATGACCCGTGGTATCCTGTGCCCTCTACGTTCCAAGTTAGGCCCAAGGAAAATCTGAACGCAACTTTGGTCTGTGATTTGATCGACCCGACCACTCGAACTTGGAAAGTGGACATTATTGAGGATGGATTCACCCATAAGGAGACGGATGTTATTCTCAGTATTCCCATCAGTAGAACAGGATCCACCGACAGACTTAGGTGGTTTCACACTGCGTGTGGGACTTACTCGGTGAAACGGGATACGGGGTTGCTATGGAGCTTATGGAAAATGGTGCACTCGGTAAGAAAAGGGCGGGGCTTGAATAGTGAGAAGACAAAACATAACCTTCTGTGGAAATCGATTTGGTGCCTAGATGTTCCTAGTAAGTTGAGATTTTTTATATGGAAATGCTGTAATCATGCCTTAGTGGTGAGAAGGAATCTCAAGCGACAGCATATGCGTGTTGACAACGTGTGTGGGGTGTGCGGGCAGTTTGATGAAACAGAGAATCACCTCTTCTTTCGTTGCGAGACCAGCCACAGATTCTGGTTCTGTTCGCCTCTTCAACTTAACTCCATCGAGTTAGAGGGCGTTGACTTCCTTCAAAGTTGGGCGAGTTTCTGCAACCGGGTTGACCAACTAGATAACAGGATGGAACTTCTTCAAGAATTTGTCTTTGGGCTTTGGCGACTATGGAAGAACAGAAACGATATAATTTTCAATCATAAAAACCATGAACCAGCTGAGATTTTGATGGACTGGAGAAGGAGTCTAGCCGAGTATAGAAACGCTGCGGAAAAGAGAGAGCAGAGTATGAAACCAGTTCTGACCAAGGTGGCCCACGATGGTGCTGGACAGAAACATTGGCATAAACCTGGATTTGGTACAATAAAAATCAACACGGATGCGGCCTGGAGCAAAGTGACGCAACAGGCTGGTCTGGGTTGGGTGGCTTGTGATTTTGCTGGTGTTCTCCAGGGTGCGGGGGGATCGGGATCCATAAGATTCCACTCCGCAGCTGCAGCAGAGGTAGCAGCAATCCGGGAGGCCCTCGAAGACTGTTTACTGAGGGGTTTTAGGAATGTAATTATAGAATCTGATGCTAAAACTATTGTTCAAATGATCAGAAATGAGCTAACCCAAGATTTCAGGCTTGAATGTCTACTTGGTGACATTGAGTTTCTAGCACGTAGGATGCAGGCTGTTGTTTTCATCTTTGTGTCTAGAGAGAGTAACAAAGCTGCTCACTTGGTGACCAAGTATGTTGGTGAGAAAGGAAGGGATTTCGTGTGGGATTGTATTGGGCCTGAATTTTTGTTTAATACCTTGGCCCAGGATATTAACCTTCCTTTGAGAATATAATATACTCTATCTTTGACAAAAAAAAAAAATTGGAAAAATCGAATGGGCTCTAGGCGGGCTAGGCAAGGCTAGGCGGTTTTTTTTTTTTAATGAAATTAAAAAATAAAATAAAAAATCCTATCTATGTCTAAGTGGTTTAAAATTGTGAACTTGTTATACATGTGTCATCCTACAATACTCCTCGCTATGGTCATATGGCATATATGCTTAATGTGTTTTTAAATTTTGGACTTGTTGGATACTCTTTTTGCATTTTATAATTTTTTTACCATCTTATCCTTGGATTTCATACAAGTATAATTTTTTTGTAAGGATCAATATGCACTTATTTACAAGATATACAAGAAATTTACCTAAATCCGCCTAGGTGGCCGCCTAGACCCCGCCTAGGTGGCCGCCTAGACCCCGCCTAGGTGGCCGCCTAGACCCCGCCTAGGTGGCCGCCTAGACCCCGCCTAGGCGCTAGGAAACAGCCAGCCACCCGACTAGCGTCTAGTGTTTTTTAGAACCTTGATATTTACCCGAAGCAAACTTCTTACATTTGGGATCACATTTTGCCTTCACATGCAAAGAATGCTTTTCTTTTTTATTGTATGGGAACGGTATCGTAGTTTTTCGCTTTAATAGAATTTTATTTTTCGAGTAAAAACTTAGACTAATAATTTTATGTTATATTAGAGGGAATCAAATGATGAATATATAGGGACGGATCCATGACACAACCTCTTCTACACAATTTTTTACACATGTTTTTGTGGGATCCATTTCGTAATGTATTTTAACAATTCAAACCGTCTATCTTTTATGTCTTCCCTCAATGATCATGTCTACCAAAAATCACCCAAATCTGAAATCATATGACCGTTGGTTAAGGATTTAGGGTTTCTTTGTAGAACTGTATTCATCTGTTTTCTTCACTACAAATAAATATCTTAATGGTTTTCGATTTGCATAATTATTTGCAAAGATGATCTATGAATGATGTTCTAAAAGGCAGATAGTTCGGATCGTTAAAATGCATTACGAAGTGGACCCCATAAAAACATGTGTCAAAATGTGTAAAAAAAAGTGGTGTCACAAATCCACCATATATATATATATATCCTATTTATAATTCATTAACTTATAATTTTGCACTCCTTCAACTAACCCATGGACTTTGAATTTCAATGAATGCTGATTCATGTGTTCCTATATGTAGTTTCAAAATTTCATGAATTATAATTTCCTAGGTTTTTTTTTTTCTAAGAATCGCAATATACAAAACCATTATGTTGATATAGTTATGAAAATGAAATAAAAAAGGATTTATAACAATTATTTTACAGGTTAGGAAAACACCAAATCCCTTGTCAGATAGCATGTAATATTTCTTTGATCAATAGGTTACATAAGCATATATCACACGTTACACCAGGGTGGCGCGTAATTTATTCATAAAATTACCCTTTTTGTCAAATTTTCAACACATAAATACATTCCTTCTTGAACAAAAAGTCAGACAAATACAGTGCCTTCTTTCTCCCAATCATTTCGGAGCATAAATCCTCACATGTAGGTTTTGTTGCTATACAGGACGTGGTACAAAGTGATTGGTTGACATGACCAATTGCTTGACAGTAGCAGAACAAGCAGCGAGGTGTGTGGAATCACCAGCACGACTTAGAGTACGTGAAGTTTGTTACACAATACACAAATATGTACGTAGAAAATAGTAACCAACAAAGGAATATAATATAATTAATTAAGAGAGAGAAAGAGGTAGCTGATGGAATGTCATTGTAAATCTGCTACCCTTTATGGACCCCATCACGTCGGCTCATAACCTCATAGCCTCCTACTGTAATTGTATTACTTTTAAAGGGAGGTAGAGAGAGACCTTGCAAAACACCAATTTGGTGTTGGTGATCACCATCATCACTATATCGAGTTTCATCAGTTCTGATATTCAAACGTTATCAGAATTGAGCAGAGTTTGGAGGGTTTAAGTTAATTAAAAACAGATTAGGAATTACAAATTAAGAAGATCGATAATGGGGCACCATTCTTGCTGCAACCAACAGAAGGTTAAGAGAGGGCTTTGGTCCCCTGAGGAAGATGAGAAACTGATCAGATACATCACAACTCATGGCTATGGCTGTTGGAGTGAAGTCCCAGAAAAAGCTGGTCATGGTCCTCTCTGTCTCTCTGTTTCTATCTATCTATATATCTGTCTATCTCTTCCCTTCTGTGTGTTCTTACTATTAATTATATCGTAATTTAATTAAATTCCTGATGATAAAAGGGGCTTAATTGTTGTGTAATTTTCAGGGCTTCAAAGGTGTGGTAAGAGCTGCCGCTTGAGATGGATTAATTATTTAAGGCCTGACATTAGAAGAGGGAGATTTACTCCAGAAGAAGAGAAATTGATTATTAGCCTCCATGGGGTTGTAGGCAACAGGTTTAATTTAACAAGCTGTATTATTAGCTAATTAATTTCATTAATCTATTTATTTCCTAATATTTTGTGATTGTGCATGCATCAAATCCAAATTAACCACCCATTGATTGATATAGTCTTTCGGCCCTCCAAATTTAAAGCCATTGCCACGTTCGAAAATGCTCAATGGGTTTTGGGAAGCTTATATTTTTCTCTTACACAATGTGATGAAGTTAATTTCTACCCCTTTTTTTTCTTGAAGAAGCGGCGCTTTTGAAAATTTAAATTCATTGCACCATTTTCAAATTATTTCAAGATTTTGGCGAGTCTGTTTTATCTTAGAACCTGTAAATTTGAAGCTGTTTTGTTGTGGTTGTACGTATGTAATTGGAAGAAGTGGTTTTGAAGTTTGAGTTCGTATGGTTTTAATTATATATAAAATCACGTACTGGTCACGTTTATTCTTTCCAATAATAATATAGACAAAAAAAAAACCCTCTTTCCAATAATATATAAATTAATTGGTTCCGGGCCTTTGAAAAGAAACTTAAGTGAAATGGACCTCTAACTGAATACAAACAAACTTTAAAAACAAGTTTTCGGAATCAAATATATGTGGGTGAGCTGCTGCGTCAGGTTTATGTTTTAAATTTACGTGTAGCTAGTCCAGAAGCTATCTTCATCACCTGTACTGTACAGTAAGAACCACATTCCACCTTATTTTTTTGCGAAAGACGTTAAGTAGTCAACTTCGGAAGTTGGCGTTGAACATCTCAGCTCATGAAATCAACGCAGATACACACAATCATATTGTTAATGTAAATTACAAATTAATTAATTGCTTATGGAAGTTAATTTATTTGCTCTTTATTATACTATACATGCATGACTATAACTGTAATTTACATATATGTAGATGGGCTCATATAGCAAGCCATCTGCCGGGAAGAACAGACAACGAGATTAAGAACTACTGGAATTCATGGATAAAAAAGAAGATACGAAAGCCTTCCACACCTTCAAGTGCTACCACAATAAGTCCACCACCTAGTGTTGATCATCAACATATAATTCCCCAACTGGGTAATTACAATAATCAACTAGATTTTGCACACCAAGATTTGAGTACGATCATAAAGCCTCAAGCTCAAGAAACCCTCTTTTCTTCAACATGCCCTATGTTCATGTTTGATACAAGTACTACTGCCAATATTGAAGCAGCTCCAGACAGTTACAATGCTCGTGGGGAGATTTTCCAAGACATGATTGTCGCGACTGGTTTGAACTCATCTGAGCCGTGGAATTTGAATCAGCATCAAGTCCAGGCTTTCCCACCTCCGGTGACAATGTCATTTAATACTACAAGTAGCAGTACTAATAATATTACCATGAATACAAACTATTTGCCACCGTTGATCGAGAACATGGACAACATGGCACCGAACGTTGATCATCACCACCATCACCATCATCATCAATCTTGTAACAATATTGATGAGGAGGGAAACCATGATCAGATAGCCTTGGAGTGCTTAATGCAAAGGCAGGAGTTGAATGAATGGGTTGTTACCCAACAACAATGTTCTAGCTTTCTATTTTGGGACAGTGTTGTTGATGATCAAGCGACAGTACTTGTTGGACAAGATCATGGTATTGCACATCCAACTTCATCAAACGCAGTACAACTCTCTTCTTTTCCTCCATCTCTATAAGATATTAATGGTGGTCTGACAACGTACACTGCTGTCCCTCCTAACTTTACCATGCACCTGTGCACCTCTCTCTCTCTCTCTCTCTCTCTCTCTCTTTTCTGAAGTTCTTTTGAAAATGGTCCAGGCTTTTGAGTTCAGAGTTTGTTTTCTTTAATTTTGGGGTGAGATTGATCGATTGTGAAATTAAAGTGAGCTGTACAAAAGAAAATGCATGAATGTTTATTTAATTTGGATTTGGGAACAGAAGAGGAATGAATAATACATGCAACGCGACCTTTGATCATTTGTCTTGGTGTTGAACTATAAATAGTACGAAATGGTTTTTCCTTCCACATGCATGGCTTCTTAAATTCCAAGCTATGATACACTTGAACGATGAACAAAAATAACGAGTTTGGTTGCATGGATCCTTAATGAGAAAAAGTTCACGAAAAGTGAAAACTAACAATATTATGAAAATAGAGTAAAGAGGAAAAACTAGCAATTAAATATCTTATATTATAGAGGAATTAGCTAATTTTCTTCCGAATATGTAAGTTATTATCAATTTCTCTCTCAAACTTTAATTTTAATCAATTAATTCCCTGAACTTGTATTATTAATCAAATCACCCCCTTGTAGTTAAATTTTTCAATTTTCCACCCACTATTCGGTCCATCTCAGTATTTATGAGGGCATAAAAGTCATTTTGCACCTCAACAACACCCAATCCCTGTTCATGAGCAGGAGCAAAAGGCAGAGTGCAATTTTCTTCTTCTTTCTTCCACCAGTTGGATCCTATAGTTTCTGTTTAAATTACCCATGGAGCATAATCGATCTGAACAATGCGATGGAAGTGAGAAAGCGGCGTCGTCTTCAGCTTCTTTTGT